GCATGCCACAAGCCTTCTGCACCCTCTATTGGGATCAAAGATTCCAACATGTCTTTAATGAAAATCATCATGCATCATCTCTCCACCAATAGGAGAGCACTACTATCACATGATGTATGTGACTCCCTCTGTGTGCCACTATCGAACTATCACTTTTTATTTAGCAGTGCTTGAGTTCAGACATTTTTGTTTTTGCTCATTACTTCTCAAAGTGGTTTAACTTAATTCAATTTACTTTATTTCAGAAATGTTTTCACTTTATTTTCAAAAGTGTTTGATTTACCTGTGTTTTACCACAAAATGTTTGCTTGTTTGTTTTGTATCAAGCATGAATTTGGAAGTTAATGTTCCCACTTCGGGAACATCTTATTCGTCTGATGCCATATTTCAGGCCACAGGTGAGGGCCACCCATCAGGGGATTTATCGGCCTTTATTTGCAGAGAGTTTGAGCATTATATAGGACAACCTTTCTCTCCTGCTATTGCTTCTCTTCCTCCTTGCTTATCATAGGGTGGACTGTCAACATCTGGACCAATCATTGTAGGGTTCAGTTTTGCATATTTGGAGGATGGGACCCAAATCTCCCATTCATCTTACCCATGTCCTGTATTCCCACCTTTGTCTTACTCTGACGATTCTTTTAGAGGTAGGTACCTCTCCTCGATCCATCTCCTGTCTAAAGCTCTTCACAAGAATTCTGAGGGGTTTTCTGGGGACATCTTTGGCTGGTGAGGCACTGCAAACATGGTTTATTTGCTGTTTGGACCTTTTGGGTCATGATGCCACATTGTCATGAACCCATCCCCAACTCCTCATCTGCAAGACTTTGTATGGCCCCGTTTTTGAGATGTTTCGTGTTTGACACGATCCCGGAGTCTTTGGAGTCCAGGGTGGCTTCAGTCCAACAACAATCCACCCTTTCTCATCTGGTGGCATGTTTGTTCCAGTCAGAGCCGAGCGTTGTACCAATTCCTGTCTCCTGACCCAGCCCTTACCTGTTCCTCCTTCCTGCGGTGCCATGTCTTTTACAACGACGCATGGTATGCAAACATTAGTTCCGGTGACTACCTGGTGGGTTCGGGTCTGATGGGTGCTCTTCTGTGAC